ATAATAAAAACATGTTTTAATTGCATTCTTACAATGTATTTTGTACTTAGGATGCATTAAAATGTATGAGTGCATGCATGCATTTGCAAGTCACTGGGTGAGTGTGTTCAGGAAAGGCATGCAGAGATAGTGACTGTTGTGTTTTCCCCTCATGTGTAATGCAACACAGCCGGCAACTATTAACCTTCTAAGCAGGAATGTGGGAGGTCCAAGAATTCCAATAAAAAGCAGCAGTGAGAGTGTGAGTGAGCGTGGTGTGTACTCACAAATATGTTCCTCAAAGTGTTACAATTATCCATCAACAGCCCGTTCCATCCAGGCACGCAGAACCACTCTATTACCATCACTGACCAATAACCAATAGAGTAAATGTGGGGTAGCATGCGGTGACATACAACCAATGGAATTGCAGTAAAACTAGGTTCAACTCACACCGCAGACATACACACGGCCTGAGGACACATTTACATAGGCAACTGTTTTCTCTGCATTTAAATGTGAACTTTAAATGGAGCTCTTTAGTGCTGAACCCAAGAGTCATGCAGCTGATCACATAGGTCAGAGAGACCAATAATCTATAGGACTCTACTGTCAGATGTGAGGTTAATGTGTGGGTCTCTGTGGGCGTGAGTGGGCCATAGGCAGCGAGGGACAGCGGTCAGAAGCGCCCGGGCCTTCAAGGGTAACGCTGCCTTGTTGGCTGGGGTCTCCCTGGTCAAGGGCGGCACAGGACTAATGGTGGGGAGGTCTATTAGTGTCGACTGGCTGAGCACATTGTTCCCTTTGGTCACATTCCTGGCTAAATACAGACATTTCCACAACTGAGGGCCCCCTCTACCAGAAGTCATTTGTCAACTTGGCTTCACAGACGACCATATCGAAACTTTTTTGAAGAGCTGTGGTGACAAGGAAACCTGGGTCATGTTGCCTGTATATTTTGAACGCTCAGTCTGTCTCATAATAAGCATGAAATGTACTGTATTGTGATATAAATACTTTGCATTCATAACAACATGCAAATTATCCCACTGTTTCATTAGTAATGGTGTTGTGGCTAAAAAGATTTAGCAGCACCTAACAGAATTTGCTTTTTCAAAAAGAAAAGATTAGCAGTTTTGTTATGGAACATCACCTGTTTCGAGCTTTACGCGTGTTGGCTGAACCTGATCGCAGCAGGGCACTGTCCCATAAAGCAGGCTATAAAACTGTATTGGGATAATGGGAGGCAGCGGTTTTGCTGTGGTCAGCACTGCAAGGGAGTTTTCACAGATAAGGCTAATCGCTGCACTTATCATCACAGTGGTTGTGTGTTGAGATTGAAAAGCATATGCTCGCAATCGCACACATACACCCGCACAGGGAAAAGGTGAAATGTTTCCTTCCAGTCTCTGTGCTCGCAAGCTACCCTTTTGTCTCTTGCCCTGCCACATCATAAGGCAGGACTTTGTGTGTGTCTGTGTGTACATGTGTGTGCGTCTGTGGAGAATAAGTGGTAAAACAGCCCTAAAGCATGTCAATCACTCTGGGGGAGCAGCAAGCAGCACAAAGAGGGAAAAACAACCATCATTAAACTTCGTTGTTGAGTGACTGATGAAAAATAGACTGGGATGCCCAAATTACCTCGCTTTTTCTCAAACACTCTCTCACACTTACACACTCACACACACACTGCAGTCTCTTCACTTGTCAAAAGCACCACCAAACTATGAGCTACTCCGCACCATTATGAGTACAATGAGAGGTCCCTGGCCCCACAAGTCCACACACAATCAGCTCCAGGGCCTGCCCCACTCCCACCATTGTCCCATACTCCACACACACACACGCACAATGGCCACTCCTGAGCCAGGGGTCCCACTATGCAATTCCATCACACAAAGACACACACCAGTCCTTATCCCGTCAGAGTGAGAAACAAGGATGACAGAGATGGTGGAAGAAAAATTGTGACCCTTGGGGAGGGATGGAAGAAAACTGGTGAAACAGAAAAAGGCAGAGTACAGCATATGTGTGTCGGTGTGGCAGGGGAGTAGATAGCATATTAGGGAGGGAAAGGCATACAGTGATACAGTTAATTATTTGTGTATGTCTTTATTACCAGAGCATAATCAATCATTAGCACGACCTTTGAGGGTCACACAAAGGTGGATATAAATGTGTAAGGACAGACGAGAAACTACACATCAGTTCCCTGTTTGATGACTAACACAACCTGTAGAATTCTTTGCTGCAATATAATCTTCCAGACTCATCAAACACTAAAAACACCAGGTAAACAGCTGCGATTTGATATGAACGCATATTAAATTGGATCCTTTCCAACGCTACAACGCCAACAGAGAACCACCAATGACAATAGAAGCTGCTACAGCCACATCATTTCCTGCCATATCACATCAGTTCTCCATCTCAGCAGAAATCTTATCATCTATTCAGGCTAATGAAGTGACTGTGGAAAACAGGAGCGCAAAGGAAGAGTCCAGTGATTGAGAGAAACGAGGTAAACTCGGAGAGGCAGCAGCTTACCGTACGGGACATAATCCTACATCACCAAACATCCTGGTGAGGGATGATTACATTTTTTATCCTACACACATCCGACACAAATGTGTTCACTCTAAACAACGGGATCTATAGGTTAAGGGTTAAAACTTGAGTTCTGATTGGAAACACAGCAACAGCAGGAGATCAGACAGATCAGGAGAGCGCCACAGATTACCCAGTTCAATAATTCACCTATTTAAATGTGCTGTTATAAGATCATGCCTCTGAGACATTCTGTGTTTACCAACTACAGCTAAAATGATTAATCAATTAATGAATATACTGAGTATAACTCAAATTTGATTTTGGTGACTTTCGAATAACTTGAATAAACATTTTTTCTACTTTTTCTAAACCAAATGATTAATCGATTAATCAAGAAAGAAATCAACAATTGGTTGTTGAAACCATAAGTATTATAAACCAATAAAATTAAGAGTTTGAGACTGTTAGATTAAGTCAGTGGTGTCAAGACTTTACTAAAAACACATATTCAACTTAAATGGCAACAGAGTGTATGCCTTAACCAAGGCCCATTAGTCCACACAAATTCAATTAAACTGAACCTGAGAAATCCCCAAATTTTCAAAAACACAGTATCACCCAGTCACTTAAATAAAAACAGGATCTGCACCAAAATGAAATGGCTTCTTTCCTGATTTAAACCGCATCCTTCCACCTAGTTTCATGAAAACATGTTCATTGGTTTTGGTGTAATCTTTCTTGCAAACAAAGAAACATATAAACCAACAAACTAACTAACTAACGGGTTAAACATAACCTCATCGGCTGAGGTAATTATGCAAGAAAAATGTAGATGCAGCCCCACAATTAAATGGTGAGTAAGAGATTCAAGTCAGATTCATGGTAAAGTAGGACACGTTTATGTTCTTCACCTTTACTGAACAGAGAACAAACTCAATCAACCTGCTACGCAAACACAAACCCACACCTACTGCATACATCAAACTCATAACCTAAGCACAATCAATTTTTGCAACCTTTCCCTGCAGAGCTGAAGCTTTCTGCTGCAGCACCAACACAGAGTTCAGAGTAATAAAAGGGCTACTTGTGGTGGGATGTGGTGTGATGTCATAGTAGCCTCCTCGGGGCTGCTGCAGAGAGTGGGTGTGTGTGCAGGAATGTGGAGGGCTGAGGGGCTGAAGACTGGGTGCAGCAGGAGTCAGGAGGGGACAGGGTGGGGGAAGGGAGGGGAACATCCCGAGTGGAAAAGTTTGTCCCACACAGTTTGTCCGTCACTCACACACTCTCACACACACCGCCCTGTGCCAAATGCTCACCAGTAGCTACTTAGAAAGTCATCACATTGTTCCCGCAGGAACCACAACTTATTAAATATGTTTTACACAGAGGGCCACAGACAATAAATGACTGTAGTAAACTCTCCAATGTTATCCACCAGGTCTCTTGTGCCATAAGTTAGTTTTAGGGCTGCAGCTAACAATGACTTTAATAATTAATCTTCCACTTTTTGTTTGAGTAATCATTTAGTCTAAGACATATTCAGATGTCCTGCTTTTTTGACAGAAATTCAAAACACCTACAAAGATTCAAAATATTCAAATTGCAATTGTTTTAAGAGGTCGAATATTGGAATTGTTTCACATTTTTTTACTTGGAAAATGAAAACAAGCACAATAGGATAATCACTAACAGTTCCAGCTCTTGTCTGTTGAGTTGTGTCAACTGGAGCAAAACAAACAGATGTAATTTTAGCGACTAAAAGAAAACGATACAGTTGATTACTGATGTTTAGAAGTAATAAAATGCAATGCTGGCACAAATGGTAGCACTTCCCCTTCCTCATTTCTTCTGAAAAATGGCTTTCGCAGAGAAGAGCAAGAACAAACTTATGCAAGCATTTCAGGAATTAGACAAACACACACACCTCAGCTGACTACTGGAAACCCCCTCCCCTCTCTCTCTCTCTCACTTCAACATGCTGACAGGCCAAGAACCTGACAATCGTATGTGCTCAATTACTGAGGTAACTTCAGATTACTCTCTGTGTATAAAGCTGATCAGATCCAATCATCTCACGTCCACCACAAACAGGAGAGAACTTATCAGCACGTCCACATCCCCCCCTCTCTCTCTTTCACACACACACACACAGTACTTCTAGGATTCTCAGTCACTCGTCTGAAAGGTGTTGGATGGTGAAATGAGGTTGTCAGGGTGACACGGAGGATGTCGCTGTAACAACTGTACAGTAGTTCAACCACTTCCTCTTGTACAGCACTGAAGCTTCAGCAGATTTAAACAATGGACCGATCCACGAGAACATCCAACACTTCTGTCTAAACTACAGGTGGCTGCTGGTCGCTGTGTGCTGTTACTAATCAACAATCACTGTGGTTGTGTGGTGCTGTTAGCTCAAGTACACAAAGACAACGGTGGGGAGCGTTTCCCAGAAGGATTCACTCAGAACTTACCGGAGTCTCCGGGTGTTTTCATTCTCTCCGCTTCGGCTAACTTAGCAGGACGGTGGCTAAAGTTCACCAAACCCGGCTGGGTGCCTCACTAAGTCGCTCGTGGGAATAAAAAAAGTCAAGTCTCTCGGCCTCTTCTTCCGCCGCTAGTTCCCGGTGAAGGAAAACTAGGTGAAACTTTTCTGACCGCACTGCCTCAGCGGCTGTGTCCGCGAACCACGGCGCTCTCTCGGTCCGTCTCTCTCCCTCTTTTCCTCCGGGCTCCAGCCGCGCTGAAGGGCCCGCTCGAGCGCTTTCCACAGCGGGCACAGACCTCGCGGTGCGGTCCTGTGTCGCCTCTCGTCCGGTCACCACCAGCACCGCAGCAGCGTAGAAACCTGCTCTCAAGTTGCGGCGGAAAGACGAAGCTCCCGTCCCGACTTCAGGAAAAACCTTCTTCTTCTTCTTCTCTCTCTCTCTCACTCTCTCTCTCTCTCTCTCTCTCTCTCTCTCTTCCTCCAACAAGTTCTAAGTGTCCGGTTCACTCCGTCTCCACCGCCGCATCCTGGCCGCTGGTTGACATCTCTCCGCCGCGAAGCTTCGGTACTTGTTTGACAGAAATTAGCGTCGGAGTGAGGAGCCTCTCTTTCTTTACGGACTTTTTTTTTCTTCCAGTCCTCCACACTCTCTCTCTCTCTCTCTCTCTCCCCCTCTCTCCTCAGGGTGTCGTGTTTCGCTGGCTCTCTCTCTCTCTCTCTCTCTGGCCCGCCCACACTGACAGGGAGGGAGAGAAAGAGCGAGGAGGAGGAGGGGGGGGGGCTAACGTGGCGGGTCACGCCCCCTCACCACGAGCCTGGGGCCCGCGCTGGCGTCAACGCAGCACGCGGCGTTGCCCCGGAGACCGCCACCGCGCGCTGCCGTGCTGACGTCACATCCGAGTCCCTTACGAGTGGAGAGAGGCGCGAGAGTTTTTTTTGTTGTTGCGTCAATCAGTAGTTATGGCGCTGATCGGGAGAGTCTTTCATATCTGGATGATTACACTTATTAAACTGGCGAACTGAACATGACGGTGTCAGTAACAGGAAATTCAAAGTCACTATTAGACATCAGTGTGAAAATCACATTATTCTGGAGGGATGGAGGACAGAGTTTGTTCTGTATAAATCATCAGTAGAGTTGAGCACATTATAACACAGAACAAGGTCCTAATCCTCATGAGTATGGATACTGCAATAGCCAATATGAACAGAAGAAATGATCCCTTTGCTAAAAGGGAAAGAATTTCATTTGACTAAAAATGTATTCTACATTTTGACTTATTATTCATCTACAGACACATTGTGTATGCTGGTACCATATAAATCTATCCTTAGTAGATTTATACATTCCTAAAAAACTCTTATCTTGAAATGTAAGTTTATTCTTGACAATTCCAGCCACTTCTTTAAACTGAAAAAAAAACACAGGACAAAAAATATAAAATGCCTCCTCACTAATCCTGTGGTTTCATCCAAGTGTCAGTGAGCCCGACATTCAAATTCTACCTGAAACGTAGGCCGGAGCCACGATCCCGCACACACCGCAGAGGCTTGTGCCTGTATACTCTTGCCCAAGGTGCATGTGGTGACATCATAGAGAACTATTGCAAGCATAGTCTACACGGGCCTTACAGACACGTGGATGACACCACAGGAGCAGAATGGAGGCTTTTTTTTCTGTTCCATTTGAAAAATGTATCACCATTTACTTCTTTTTCACCCCTGAAACCTCAAACACTTCATCCACCCCTCCATTGGCATAGTGGTAGATAATGAGTGAATTTTCATTTTTGGGTGAACTGTCCCTTTTAAGCATCATGTACTTCACCGGTGTTTTTGATGTTTGTAGCCAGCTGCATTTGAATTTCCTGTAAAATATCTGTTTTTCAGATGATGGCAATGTAGATGAGAACTTAACGTAAAAAAAAAAAGAAGAAAAACCTCTTGTGGTTTATTTGAATATGAACCTGCATCCTGTTCTGCAGCCACTAGGTCATGTTGCACTAACTCCCCTTTCCTCTTTTTTTAAGGCAAAGTCAACCAACTGTATCTGACTTACAATCAAACACACACACATAAGCACGATGACCCACAGCATGTGTTAGCATCTATGGTTAGCATACAGTCTATTTATGCAAGTACCTCAGAGTTCATCCGGTCATGTCACATCGTGTCATGCCCAGACTAGTTTCCTGTCACCTCAAACACTGAACTCCTGCTTCCTCATGTGCCTCTGATATGAAGCTGTCATGTGTTATCAACGTGCATGTGTGTGGGGTGAGGCGTCGTGCATGGGAGGTGAAGTGCATCTCCTCTTTTTTTGCCTTCTTGTCCGCTGGCACCTGCTGCGAGCAACGGAGGCTTTATCTGTGTTTTTGTGCATTTTTGCCCGCGTTGCTACGTCAGCAATATGCCCGGCTGCCCGGCCTTGTCAACAGGATAAGACAGTGGTAGTAAAACAAAGTAAACAAAGTCCCCTGTCAGCAGCAGCGTCCATGTGGTGTGATTTACAAACAGGATTTCTCCTCCCTTCACAGGCCATTCTCCGACGGGCTCAGGAAACCCACTCTGCTCGGCCTGATAAGAAGCTGGACCAAAAGAAGAAGAAGAAAATGGCCCGTTAAATTGGATGCTCTCGGACTCAGGAAACTGCTGTCCTGTCCTGTCTTCTTCAGGGCAGTAAAACCACCGGAGAGACCTGCGTGTTTGTTTGTTTTTCTCACATAAAGGACGACAATAGGGCTCAATCAGCTGAGAACAAGAGTTCCACTATCCCCCACGTGTTTGTCATTGTCTCTGGTGTGTTTTTGTCTGGTTTTGGCATGAACCTGATATCTGTCATTTCTCCATTTTCCAATGTCTGTGTTTCTGGTTGAGATGGAAGAGCTCTTCAGCGTCCCCCAAAGCTCTTCACACACAAACACACACACAGACAGACCTGACAGAGAGGAAATCAAAGAGAGGACAAGAGGAAAAAGCTCCACTGGGAGAGGAGGAGGAGGAGGAGAGGAAGAAGAACCTGACAGAAAAATAAGAGTGATTTAGGGATTAAGTGCAGGGTGGACCAAATGATTTCTCCTATTTACCTGCATGTGTGTGTGTGTGTGTGTGTGTGTGTGTGCTCTATTGTAAGTCAAGCACAGGAGATGACATTTACAGACAAATCTACAGCACAGTACATTCTGAGCACTGATAAACACAGTGCTTCACTCAACACCCTCCCTCTTGCACCCAATGTCCTCCTCCTCCTCCTCCCTTGTTCTTGCTGTTCATCTACCTCTCAATCTCTCTCTCTCCCCCCATCCAATCTTTGCTTCCCTTCCACTCTGTCCTTTGCAACCCCGTCGTCTTTTACCACCTATCTGCCCGTCCGTCCGCCCTCACTCTCACACCTCTTCTGTTCCTCCTCCTGCTCCGTCCTCTGCCACCTCTCCGTGCCTGCACCTCTTTCCCTCCCTCACACTCTCCAGTTGCATCAAGGTAGAGGGAGTCATGAGCAGAATCAATCATAAAAGAGTAAGACTAGTTTTGTCGCTGATATTTGTTTGACATACAAGCTCATGTCCAATGACAGTACTTTATTTTCAGTTGAATACGTGCAATTTGTCAATATTGTTTAATGGAAAATGAGAGTGAAGAGTCTGTATTCTCATTAAAAATACTTTTGTAAATTTAAGATCTTGTCATTTTGTGTATAGTTATGTATATAAAGCAGACAATACACAATATATCTATCCTCCACGTATTACTAGCGCTGTTGTTTATCTTTTAACAGATGGTGACCTTTACAGAGCGCTTATCTTAAAGCAATGTTAGAATCAAGAGTCTTATTAGTATGCAAGGGTTTGCCCATTAATAGATCTTTTGAGAGTTTAAGTGCCGAGCAAATATCATAACAGAAAGGGAAATATTGCATAGGTGTGGCGAACATGTAAATATCTTTGAGCGCTGTGGCTGACGCTATCAAAATGTATAATAAAACTAAAATACAAGTGGCCTTGTTACTGTCATATTTCTATATTTCTCTTTAATACAAAAATAATACCCCCCTTTTACAACTTTTTTTGTCATTTGTGTGTAAGAACTGTCAGAATTCATTTAAATCTTGACGTCCGAATATCCCAATAGATCTTAATGTAAATTTAAAATTGAGTCACTGTGCACGTGGCAAAATGTAAAATATCGACATTGCAAAGAAGTTGTTTCACAGTGTGTGGAGATGTGGACGCCCAAATCTGCACCAAAACGTTTCCCATTATTATTTATTTAAATCATCACATGCATTTTTTTCCATTGTTTGTGAGGAGAACTTGATGATGTGCTTGACAAAAGGGGCAAAGTATCACAGAGCAGCCTTGTCCTATTGGTTCCACATCATCCGTACGCCCTCTATCTCCCATCCCGCCCTTTTTCAATCCACCCTGCTCTTTATGTGACTCTGTCCGTTCCTAATCAGAGTGACAGACAGACGCTCCGGAGAGAAAGACGGAGAGAAAGGGCGAGCGGAGATTTTTTTTAGTGTTTGTGTGTATGTGAATGCTCGCATGCAGTCGAGTGGGTGCGGGTGTGAGCATCCCCAGATAACTTTCCTATAGATGCAAACCATTATCCAGCCCCCCCCCCCCCATCTTCCCCTTACTTCATCTTTCATCTGTAAAGTGAAACAACTGTAAAACAACTTAGTGTACATGAGCTCAAGAGGGTCAGCAAACCTGACATGGTGCCACTGCATAGCATGTTGTCGTCAGCACTAATACACACACCGCTCTCTATAACACAGATGGCTCGACTCAGTGTAATTACCATGGACAATGGGTGTGGTAGGCCACAAACCAGTGCCACCACAGGCAGACAAACACACACACACACAGATAGACACACACATCCAATTCATGTACATGCAAAACCTGATTTCAGCAATCAGTGGAAGCCAGGCAAGATTATAATTCCTGGACAGGGCGTAAAACAACCAACAGAGGTGTAATATGTACATAGGGGAAGTGATGATTCATCCCACTGGTGATGCGAACAAATGTACCAACGTGCACATAGGCATGCACGTGCATACAATCAGTCTCTCCCCACATCACCCGTTCCTAGGCTTTCTTTTTTTCCATATCTAAGTGCTACAATTATCTCTGACTTGAGTTCCAGTGAATGATCTTACATAACCAACTTCAGACAGTGTTTTACAAAACGCCTGCAAAGTGAAACCTTTGTTCTTTTTCAATCCTCCGTGGACCTGGACCTGGACTGAAAAGGAAGAGGTTTCAACTTCTGGTGTGACGTGAGAGACGAAGGGAAGATGGGTCTGCAGACAGAAAGGCACTGAGGGTGAGAGCAAACCGGATGAAAGAAAAAAAGCCGGCAGCTGAGGAGGACAACAAGTGCAGCAGGGTGGCGGTTAATGCCTCCCCCATCCCGCACTCACACACACCACATTCACATTCACCCTCCAACCTCACCCCTTAGAAATGGCAAGAGTGAAAAAGGACGGACAGAGAGGGAAAGAGAGCAAAGCTGTGGAGAATAAGGAGTGGGAGAGAGGGAGAGAGAGGGAATAAGAGAGTCAATGGGCTCTTTGTCATCAAAGACCTTGTTTATTTTCGAGCTTGCCGGTCCAACCGTCAAGAGACACAGCCAGATATCCCTCCCTCCATCTCTGTGTCTGTCTGTCTCCCTCCTTACCCCTCATTGGATCATTAGGGGTCTGACTTTAAACACATTTCGAGACAATTTGTAATGTCAGTCAACATTTTCTTCTCTTTTCTCGACACTGCTTTGAGTAAACGTCTATGATGCCCAACCGTCTAGTTGAGACCCGAGACAGTTATCCTCTGTCCACATTCTCCCTCCCTCCCTTCCTCCTTCCCTTCCCCAGCTGGTATTCGCACATGAGTAATGGGATTACCACAGCGAGCGGTGATGTGGTGGAGGAGGGAAGGAAAGGGGTGGTGAGGGTGACGTTGGAGGACAAGTGAGACAGAGGAAGAGGGGGATCAACGGAAAGGTCCACCTGGAAGACGGAGATGTAGACAAATATGGGAAACGTGTTAATGACAACAAGCTCACATTTATTCACACAACAATCGCACACAAGCTTCCAATTTCTTCACGACAACTACAAGTTTTCCGCAGACTGATTTCTTACTCTCAAGGCCACTCAAAGAAACCGTCGTGACTTACTATTTTCATCCACAAGGCCCTAGACAGAGAAACCACACTCTCTTTCTGTTGGATTACCATGGCAATGAGGGAGCTATTCAAGAACAAAAAGCTCCTTTTGCGGTGGGTAAAGTATGGAAAAAGCAAGCGGCCAGTGCCCATATGAAAGCTGGGTGGTGGGAGTTGGAAAGAGAGGGTAATGTGAGAGCGGGTGGAAGGCACGGAGAATGTGTGTTATATTAAACCAGTATCTGGCAGGGTGTCAAGCCTGTAATATATACAGAGAGCGAGGGGAGAGGATAGAGGAGAAAGAGCAAAGGAAGCGAGATCAGTTAATTTAGCTCCGGGTACATGACATTGATGGACGGGGGCCATGGAGGACGACAACTGAGGGGAGGGAGTGGAAGAATGTAACCTGTTTGCAAGTTTTGCGAGGACTTGGGGGGGTGGAAGAACGTGAGCGAGGCAGGAGCAGTGTTAAGTAAAGGTGCAGGTGTCAGGCTGGAGAGGAGGGAGAAGTACGCCTGGATGTGTGACAGTAGCTATATTGAGCACAGCGTGTGTTGACACTGTCTCCTGTATCTCTCTGAGGAAGAAACTTCCTATTGGCACCGTGCAGAGCTTCCTCTTCCTGTCTTCTCCTACTCTCTCTACCCTTCAGTGGCCAAAGTGCACGTCCCCCCCTCCCATCCCTCAGGTCTGTGTTCTTTCATCATCTCGGATTTAAATAAATTCTCAGTCTCGCACTGCCACACCTGTGTCACTGTCCCCTCTGCACAATTTGTTCCCACTGTACATTTCTCTCTCCATTCCCTTTCAGTGTCAGTTGAATTCAGTTATATTTGCATGAATGAGGTGCAGCCATTCTTGCAAGAACAACAATTAAGCACACAGTGGAGGACGGACCTTTGCCAAGGCCTGTTATTCCAGTCAGTTGTTGCTTTCACAGTCACAGTCGGAGGGAAAAACAACAGAAAACAATTAATCAGAAGATAATGACCCGACCTAAATGACTGAACAATAGTTTGAACAATATCTAAAGAGAATCACATGTCTTCTTGAGTGTGTGACAGCACATCCACAGAGAATTCTTACCAAGTTCAACAGCTCTCCTTGGCAGTGCAGAGCCTTTCAGAAACTTTCAGCTCCTTGATTTACTTTTTTCTAAACACAACTTGATTGTCTTGGTTCGTGCTCTGCACCCTCATAAACATTGTTTTTAGCTGCAGGAGTCGACACGCCACCTGTACAGCAACAAAAAGCCACCAGACAGCATTAGCTAGAAAAAACATTTATGGAGCATTTAGCGGCCAAAAAGCGAAATAGTTCTCTCAGGAGTTGGTGGAGACCAAAAACAGAGTTAAAAAGGAGATCGAATATTGGTCAACTCCACATGTGCGCTAATGTTGCTCTGTATGTGTAATGTGTTCACCAAACCAAGTGATATATCAAATAGAGGGGTTTCTTTCACTGTCAATCTTTAGTTTCCTCACCAAGTGGCCAAAATTTGGAGGATGGAAGATGTTACAAACAGGCATTAAGGAATGTGTCAAGACAACATTTTATTTGCTATTAAAAAACACAACACATGATTTAAACATGCAAACTGTGGTTTAACACTGGTGTTGGGACTCCTGTTTAACTATGAGAGTTCTGAGTGTTTGACCAAATGTTGGCACGAGAGGAAAATTGATAGGATCACCTTTAGAGCTCAGACTATACGTATAAAATATTTTTGATTTTATGGTCAACCTGTCAGGATATTTGCATCGTAGTAAAATTGTTTGGGAAAGGAAAAAGGTCTGAAAGTCAAAGGTTTCATTTTTAATTTCTTCTTTTGGTTGATGATACAGTACAAACAGATGGAGGCAGATGGTCACAACAGCCTTCACTGTTTTGTGGAGATAATTAAACGATAAATTGCAACAATAACAACAACATTTCAGCAAAAGATGAGAGCACGGACAAATTAATGAAAAATAAATAATACGAATAAAATTGTCTCAAAACTCCTAACCTATCTTCCCTGCACAGTTTAAATATCCCTGACTCTCCTCCCCTCTCTACTCCGTATAAATCCTGAATTGGATTAGGTTTCTGGATCACCCGTGTGTGCATGTGTATGTATGTGTGTGTGTGTGTGTGTGTGTGTGTATGTCGTCAGTGAGAGTGTGTGAAGCATGTACAGTATGTGCAGAAGAGGTCAGATCCAGTAACAGCCTACATTTCTCCCCCTTCCTCCACACACCGGGCTCACTCACTGCCGCTCGATCCCCCTCCTCAGATTGGATTGCCCAGAGGTGCTTGGCCAGCAGCCACCAAACAACCCACCCACCCAACAATCCAATGCCATACGCTCTTCACATACAGTGACTATCCCTGAGCCCGGGCCAGATATCCCTGCAGCCACATTAAACCACGAGGCTCATATCAAACATGAGTTCATGTTTGGCTGGGAGTGGGACGCAGCAGCAGATGACATTTGGCAGCACATTCCTGGACTGTACTCCGAATGACGTTTGGGGATATTTTTGAAGAGATTACTCAATTAACCTAGAATGAGTAATCGATCCCGCAGAAACCGGTAGTATCCAGCTCCTTCGCCCCAGTAACCCCATCGCTATCCCCACCACCCCATCATCCTCAGCTGGGCATGGAGACAGCAGGCCTGTAGGTGGTTCAGCTATGTGTCATACATTACATGCCAGTGCAGGGGAGGAGGACTGACACAGAGCATGTGTTACACTTGCTCAGTTTGATGTGTTCTGCCCTCGCACAGGCACAACTGTGGGTGGCATAGCTATGTGTCATAATCACCATCATCCTTTGCTTTGTCGGATCTCTCATATGTGCGTGCCTGTATGTCTGTGTGTGTGTGTGTGTGTGTGATTGTTTTATGCGTTGCTGTTGTGTAGGTCCCTATGTGGAGGTGCCGCGCAGTGGGCTCATTCACAGTGTGGGAGCTGCTGCTGTACAGTAGCGCTGATTCATTTTTTTCTGACCCGTGCGTGCCATTGTCGTGGTTTGACGGCTCATGTTTTTACATGATGCAAGTCCTCAACTAATTATCTGCACTTCGCCTGCTACTGGGATTCAGTGCGTTGTTTTTACAGTGTACGTGCAACACGGCCACTGAACCAGAGGAGTCTATTTGCTGGAGAAGGACAGAATACAGCTGAACTCTGTCTTTGTAGTTTACGTTTAATGATGAGCCAAAACATTACGAGCAGCATGTGAGCTCAGCAGGGTGTGATGCTCTGTGCTGTTACACATTCCTCCCGTTAACACAATTTCGATTTTTGCAACTTTTGCCTCATATCCCGTCTGTCAATGCCTTTGCGATCGCAGATCCCCCCCATCAAATGATGTGGCTGTAATGATCTGGCCCTCATCAAAGACACACAGATCTTCAGAGTCATTTATCTAAAAACACATTGACCGTCTATTCACTTATCATCTAACATATGCCAGACCTCAACATGCACCTTTACATACTTTCTTTCCTTCCATCCTTCCTTCTTTTGGTTCTTCCCAGTTCAATGTTACTGTGAGGAGTTTCAAGTTCTTCCCACATTTATATTTATGTTCTTCTGGTACTCCAGCTTTTCCCACAGTCCACAGATGTGCAGATTAGAATTAGGCTAATTGGAGACCTCATTGACTGCAGGTGTGAATGGTTGTTCGTCTTTGTATGATGGCCCTGCGATACGCTGGGGTGACCCTTAAAGGTACAGTATGTAGAATTTTGTGACATCTAGTGTTGATGTTTCATGTTGCAGCTGAATACCCCTCACCCCACCCTCCCCTTCCAAACATGAATAAGAACCTGTGGTAACCTTCAGTAAACTAAAAAGGTGTTTAGTTTGTCCAGTCTGGTCTAATGTAATAAACATGTCGGCCTCCGTAGAGAGGACCCCCTCGATGTAAATATAAAGTATTTAAATATAAAGAAAACTATAATTCATACAATTTAGATGAAACGAACTAGTGAAAACATCATGAGGATTATACTACATTTATACATTTCTGCCAATAGTTCCCTTTCACTTAAATCTCACACACTGGGCCTTTAAAGGATAAGCAGTATAGACGATGCAGGGATGGATGGATGAATGTATGGGTCACCTGAATTTTCCTGTTGCAAAACCAGCTGATAAATCTGACTGTGTTCATTGGATTATGAATAAATCCCAGAAATTCTCTTTCTCCTCAAACTCTGCTGTTCTTTTTGTTTAGTGCTAATTAGCAAATGTTGGCTGACAGATTAAACTGAGTGAAGGAATTCAGTCAACGTTGCAGCTGCTAAACATCATTATGGAGATGCTGGCATACTGATGTTAACACTGTAAAATTTCACAAGTGCATTTTCGCTAATATGGCTATGGACAGTGTTGTTTTCACACAGCATAATATGATGGACATTAACAAAACTGTCATTGTCACATTAAGTCGTACCCAAAATGTCCTGCAGCTGCACTCACAGTTGGTCATCCTGAATAAATATAGAAATATAACTCATTCAATCATGTGAAAATGTGTATATTTCTTACTAGTAGTAATCATTAATATTTCACATTGCTGAGTGTGAAAGCCCAAACAGAACTCTGTTTTTCAGCAGATAGATATTTTATCTTTCTTTGGTCAAACTTGATTTATTGTCAGCTCTGGATGACAGAGCGATTTTTTCGGAGATCGACCTGACCGTCGTGAATTTGTTTAAGATCATCGGAGAACATTCAAGTGTTTGACTGTAGGGGGCTGCAGGGAGAGGGGGTGTGAGTGGAGGGTTTCTCTGGGCAGTGCATGGGGTCTCTGGGTGATGTGTCATTCAGGGGGCGGTCGGCCCCCCTGCTGTGCCCAGTGGTGGTCTGTGTGTGACGTGTGTGTGTGCGCAATTCTGATGCTCAGTTCCCATAAAACTGTTGCAATCAGGGAATGAAGGCGGCACTTACAATGAATGACTGTCACATCCTTATCTCTCCCAATAGGTGCTCTGATGTTAATTTCCACCGAGTGTCGACATCCTGCCTTCAGTCGAGCTTTTGGAATTTTATTAACAAGGTGAAGGCAAAGTGGAGGACGGAGACAATAAGCCCACAGACACATCTACATACACATCTTACTTAGTGTGGCGTATTTATGTGAGGCTGATTACAGCATTGTTCTACATCTACCCCAAAGAACATCATCGCAAACACTTCACTGAAACTATAGAGATGACAGGAAACCAAGGAAAGCAGTAAAATAAACTAAAAGCAAAAACAGAATAAAACAAGTGCAAATCAGACGTACATGGAACGCCTGCTTTAGACACTCACTTCATTTCTCTGCATGTACTTTGAAGTGGCTGTGTAACAATGCCACTGGCAGGCGAGGACAAACCTATCTTCAGTCTATTCAAATGAAGCTGTTGAATGAATGAGAGAAGTTTTTTCTTTCATTTTGTGTTTTTAAAAGCAATTTCTGTGGAAATATGAAGAGCTTCCATATTATTTAGGAAAGGAGATACAAGGATCATCCAGAGCTCTTGCAGAAGTAAGCAAAACAAAACTTCAGTCAAAGGATGGAGGACAACGAAGGAGCTGTCGTTTTTGTCTTAGTCTCTCTAAAGTCGGACAGAATGTTTATCTATTTGTGCTACACATACACGTACTGACTATACAGCAAAACTACAGAGGCAAAGTATGAGGCATATATCGTGCTTGAGTTCAAGGGAGGAGTTATACAATCAAATAAGCAATTATATGGTGTGCAATTATATAGACCATCAGGACACATCAACCATATCAATAATCTGACCATCATTTATCACTCATTCTGATATCTTGAATATCTTCCTCTTATTTTTTGGAGTTGTGTAATTGTAAATTGAAGAAATGAGGATTTTTTTGACTGGTTGCCAAACAGAAAAAGGGCCTTGAGGTGAGAGAAATTGTAATAATGATTTTTTAAGAATAATCTGCTTGAACTATTTTTGCTATTTGCTCATATTTTGAAGGAAAAGAAAATAACTGTTCGCTCCATCATTGAACTATGTTAAAATGACAAGAAACATTTCTGATATTTCTGATATTTATCTTAAATTGACTAACACGCATACTTAAGTCCTACATGTACATGTGCCAGAAATCGCCATACAACCTTGTTTCCATGTTCACACATACAGAGACATTTTATGTGACGAGAGAAAATTTATCTGACAAATCTGGGCCTGAGAATCGCAAAAGGAATTCGTTTTTGTATTTTTTACATTATCTTACTTCTACGTGAATGATGACTGATGAAGCACTTTGACATACTGTATATGCACTACACTGTTTCCCTGTGTGGCTCAGAGGGCAGGAGTTCGATGGGTGAAGCTATGGTGGCTTACACAACAAAACATACACACCGTGCTCAGGGAAGGAAACCAGATCTGTCTAATGGCACTTTACCACTGACACTGTCTCACTGGCACCAAACACACACACACACGTTGGCAGTGCTCCTGGTTAAACGGACAGCTGGCGTTCTGTCTCCTCGTACCCACCGACACGGCAGCGAGGCCTAATTCGTACCCAGTTCCACCTTTGCTGGGATTCTTCCAAACCCAGTCCTGTTGCTGCTGTGTTAACCGACTCCTCACCTCACCAGATACGTTGCTCTCCAGTTACCCGCGTCATGCCACAGTCTGGTTTTACAGTCACGGAGCGTAACATTGTGATATCAAACATTTAGTGCTCCAACAATGGCACACAGAAAGTTATGGTGCTTCTCGATGCCAAAGTGAATAATTTGTTTCCTCATATAATGATTATCTAGATCTGCCATGATGTTATATCTCCCTGCTGTTGCATAACAACATTATTTTATTGAAGAAAGGTGCTAATGATCCTTTAATTGTTTAACATCTATTTCTATTAACATCTCTCCAAACCCGTCTGACCCAGTCTCGTTGGGTGTTCTGTTGTTTTTTTGTGTTTTACCTTCTCCCTCACACACGTGGTTATTGCCTGTTTTACCTGATTACAGACATGTGCAGTGAAATGGGGTCATTTGGGCTCTAACCTCAGTATTTTGAAAATCCTGACTACGGCCCTGCTCAGATCTTCTACTTACTTACTTACTGAGATAGAACTAATTATAATTATCTTGAAAAGTAATGATGGTAATTTTTTTTTATCAAACCAAAATCACAAGTTGGATATTAGAGATTTTAACATATTATATTAGTCATTATAACTTTCAGATACTGAATCTCCAGAATGGCCTCGTTCGGTAGAGAAACAAATATTATATATATGGATGTGACATCACAGCAACACAGATCTACCCGAGTCACCCTGGTGATAGGATCACATGCTCACCACCGCCGTCCGTGACTCAACCCGGAGGTGGGTGTCTGAAAGCTGTCACACTCACACACTCCAGCTTCCTACCTAATCATCCACCTACTGTGCCACACAGCAGGGGGGAGCAGGAGAGAGGGAGACAGACAGAAGGAGAGGCAGTTAACAAGAGAGGGTTGAGAGAGAGAGAGAGAGAGAGAGAGATGAGCTGGAAGGAGGAGGAGGAGGAAGAGGAGGAGGAGGAATGTAGGAGTCAGACGAGGAGACAACACACTGTGCACTTCTGGAGGAGGAAGAACAATGGGTGAAGGCTAAATGTTGGCAGTGTTGTTGGTTAGTTAGCAGATGTTCCCTGACTCAATTGAAAGAAAAAAATATTGATTAATGATAAACTGACATAAAGCCATGGTGTGATCTGTATTTTTTATGTTATCTGATTAAATAAGGATCGATTAATCAAAAAAAGAAGTAAACTGCAGCCATAAAATACAATTATTATCATAATCAATTATTATTCGTGACACAAGCTTGAGTTTGATCTTAAAACTGTCTCATATTTATCATTAGTTGAACAAAATGACGTCCATACGACAAAATGATAAGAGGCACCTCCTCTTAACAATCTTAAATAGTGAGAGCTACAGCAGAGTAACCCAGCTATCATTAATTATTATTGATTCATCTGCTGATTCCCTACATATAAATAACATTAAGACTTCAGTGTCAGCTCACACAGTTTTGGTAAATGAGCCAAACATCCCATCATCTTGGGTTTAATGACCTTAGTGACCTTATAGTTTTCTACTGATGGATTCTGGGTAAATATAAACCAGTATCGACCTTGTGCTATATGAGCCACACTGGGTCAGTTTTCACTGTTCTCACTGGTTCTCTCAGTTACTTCCACCAGAGCTTTTCAGACACTGATGTTAATAATGGATTTAAAGAACCGTAAAGTGCCATATAGCAGGATGAACAATCAAGGTGAAGGTTAATACAAAATCCAACTAATGAGTTGATTATTACAAAAAAAAATGGTTGTATTTAACATGCTCAATACAAACTTTATCATATCAATAATGTATCAATATTATATCAATACATCCATCAA